CTCTAGAGGATCCCTTCACAGAGGAAGAGGTAGAAGATGTAAAGACAGTATTTCGTATGCTACCATTATACATTGCTGTTATTGCATATGCTTGCGTTGATAACAGTATGTGGACTTCCGGTAAAAATAGTACACTATTTTGTTATTTGGTAACTGAGGTTGAGTACCACATATGCTCCATCTTACTATTGTTAGTGTATCTATACTTTATTCGTGTTTTATTCTACAAATACATTCCTAGTATGCTGACTAGAATGAGTTTTGGTCTCTTTTTGTGTGTAACTACTGTGGTATCTCAACTTGTCATTAACATTATAATGAAAGATCAGTTTGTTAATAAGATGTTGTTCATTCCACAAACATTAAATGGTCTAGCTTTTATTCTTGTATATCCAGTATCACTGGAGTTTACAGTAGCTCAGTCTCCAGTACACATGAGAGGAGTGATGGTTGGTATGTTGTATACTTCATGGGGAACTGGTAAACTTATTAACATTCTTTTAAAGTTTCCATTTGATTGTGAGAGTCAATACATATGTACCAGTTTCTATTATTATATAACAAAGAGTGTACTAGTTATTATCATACTGATAGTGTTTGTGATACTGGCTAAACGTTACAAGTATCGTGTGAGAGAGAATGAAGTTAATATTGTTCAGATAGTTGATGATCATTATCAGAGATACATGGAACAAGAGGAACAATATAACAGAGATATAGAGAGTGATGTGACACCTCCAATAATACATATGATATCCCCTAACTAACAGAGCACAGTTTTCAAAACTTGTTGAAACAAAAATTATTCATGTGTACAACATTGTAACAAGGACAATTAAATAACATTTTATTTTTAAACAAAGTAATATGCTTCATAAAAAGCTCATCAATTAAAAATCTTGATGGCCGAGTTTCAAAAAGCAAATTTTGACAAAGAAACAGGATTGAGAAATAGTACTATGTTCATGTTGAGAGAACCTCTAAATTATTTTTAATATGGCAATGAAAGAGAGGAGAGAGAAAGAGAAAAAGAGAGAGAGAGGAAGAGAGGGAGGAGAAAGGAAATGAAGATAAAGTCTAAAATAAACACACTATAAAAACATCTTGAACATGAATAAATCATAAAGGCTAATTGATGCAGCCAGAATAAGAAATACTAGTTTACATAGCCACCACTACTAATCACCTCCTACCAGTATGATGCACCCTCCCCACATATATGAACATGGTCTGGCTACGAGAGACTATAACTTGTACATGCATGTACATACAGCATAATAATTCTGGTTATAATCTAAGTTAATGTAGTTTGTAGTGCTGGAGGAAAAAAAAAACTTTTTAAAGAAAGTGTTACAGCCCTGAGGTATACTGTTCATGATTATTTAAAATTTGCTATTAAAAGATGTTAGTTCCAGCCTGACAGGTGGTTGAAAGGAACACTGAATGAAAGGAGGTTGAAAGGGACATTGGATGTCATTTGTTGTAATAATTCTACTGCATCCAAATACCTGCTTAATTGCTTCTCTAAATGACTATAAGTAGACTGAGCTGATGATGTTGATGGGAGAGGAGGAGCTACATGGGATTCATTGTCAGATGCTCTAAAATCTATGGGACTTTTTGCCACAGTTGCAGCAGCTACTAATTTAGTTTTTATCACCAGCTCTCATTTTTTATTTTATTCTACTGCATGAGCATCCTTTTCTGGCTGTTCTTGAGAACCAGTGTAGATCTATGAATCTTTCTTAAGGCTTTTCTAATATAGTGCTAGTACTTCATGAAAAGCAAGTAATATTGAAAGAATTAGCATCAAGTATGCAGCAGTCATTGAATGGCTTTGCTCAAAGCAATGTGCTAGTTTCTGCTCTCAATGAAGCTATTAAAGAGGATGGAAAGCTCTTCAAATTTTTGCTTCTATTTTATGATGAGATTCCTCATTATAAATACAATGGAAACCGGTTACTTAAAGATTATAACACTGAAGTGGTCAAAGAACTTTTAATAGATCTATAGTTGAAACCCCAGTTTGAAAGAGTATCATCACTAAATAAATTGAATTAATAAGAAATCTTATGCAAGAATGATTTAGATCTATCATTTTCAAGTTGCTTATAAAAAACTCAGTCTTAAGCTTGGCAACATTAAAACTCTTGTCAGAGTATGCAGAACTGATCTAGATCATGGTCAAACTTAGGTCAAAGTGAAATTTTATAGTTTGTAGTTGATGAAATAGATATTGTAGAAGCTGTAGAAAGCATTGAAGACTATGAGGAATGCCTATAAGTCTTGTGTCTCTATTCCCTGATAGTCTTAATTTTGAAGGAAAATTTGCAGCTGCAAAGACTGATTCTCTTCAATTTGAAGCAGCTGCTTATGTATTTGACTGGCAACCAAAAAGACAAACTTAAAAAGATATCTACAATGTTCTTTTATGGTATCTGGTCAAGAAGTGGTTGTTAAGTTTGTCTAAACTGGCTCTGTCAAGTTACTTTTATTATAATTTCTTAATAATAACAATAATAATAGTAATAATTGTGAACTTAATTATTTAATAATAATTATTATTATTATGGATTGCTGACTATCTTATTGACTCTATTTCCTTTAAATTTATGTTTCTTTTGCTTTATCTGAACCTTGACCATGTTTACTTTACCTTATGCAACAACAATGATAATAATCAATCATGTTGTTGTAAGTTGTTGTTGTCCATTAGTATTTCCTTGTCTTATCTTTTGTCTCTCCCTCTCTCTGTCCTATACTGTTCAGCTCATACTAATAATAATAATAATAATAATAATAATGATAATAATAATAATAATAATAATAATAATAATAATAAGTGTATAAAAACAGCTTTGCTTATTATTCTGATAATAATTATGTGCTGTTAATCAATTTATAGTTTAACCAGTTATTTGACAACTTTGAACATTTTCAGTTATTATCAAGACTGTAAATCTTAATACATTTGATTATTGTCACACAGCCAATCTATGAACCATGGCCAATTAATGAATGATTTTATT